CCCCAACATAAAAAGTCTGCGTCCACCCCTGCTGGTAATCGAAAGCACCCTCATATTTAAGTTTTTTGGGGATAGAGTTTTGGCCCTGAGTGCAATTTTTATAATTTTGCACACAAGTGTTGGTCTAGGATTGGAATAGCGATGGTTGGTGACTCTAGAATTATAGTGGTCATGCCTTGCGACGAAAATCAAAGACAATTAGTTACGGTGAGCCATCAGATGATTAAAAACTCTAGTCAATTCATACTGAATGGTTGGGATGTAATGGTATTATTGGACTGTTGATTTGACTGAAGGCAAAAGCTGTCTTTCATTCAGGGCTAAGATTTTACTTTTGAGTCCGACAAGGGTCCAGGAATCGATTGTTGGACAGACAAGGGTCCAGGAATCGATTGTTGGACCTTGTGACAACATATGATCGTCAATTTCACATGTCTACATGGCTTGTGATCGCGTAATCACCCTTGTTGGTGTAAAAGGATATGTACCTTGCTTACTCAGCATATGTGGGTCCTGACATGTATCTACCATGTTGGATACTATCCCCTGTTTGGTGGAGATTAAAATTATATTTTTAATAGATTTTAATAAAAGTTGATAAAATGCGTGATTGAAAAATTGTGAAACATATAAAATATGTGATTAAAATTAATTATTAATTTTGACTTAGATGAAAATTTAGATTTTAATCGATACCAAATAGGGGCTAGTTATAACCACTAATAATTAATTGAAGTATTACTAAGCAAATGAATGCTGCCAAATACTACATATCAATGATAAAATCAGCTGCGCATAGTATATCTTGGATAATGCTGTTGAAAGCAGCAGCATGGATTAAATTAGTATATTTTAATTAAAAGCTAATTGATATAATAAGCCTAAATATTATATTCCACAAGATCTTGAAGAATATTCGACAATGTTCAAAAGTATTACTGTTAAATTAACAAACGATGTGGAAATCAAAATTTATTTTGTTTGGGTGCAAATATTTTGTTCATTAACATGTCTCAAGAAAGATGATTATGAGGTTTAATACAAGAGACTCTTTCTTCTTAAGTGGTCTTAGACAGATAATTTTTAGAATTAAATAATGTCATGTTGAACTCAAGATTTTACAATAAATTTTGTAACAAAGTGTTTTACATTTTCTAAAATTATATTCGCCACGTTGTTTCCATCACCATCACAATTTGTAATATTTAGTGTTACACTACCACCGCCGTCGATCCCACCACTTGTAACAATCATTTTTACATCACAACCCCCACATCACCGCCACCATATATATCTTCCCTGTCACTAACCTACCTTTTTATACCACCGTCACTACCACTACCATCGTGCAACCATCACCAAACCACTACCACCGCAAAACATTACCCCATCAATCGAACCTCCAAACCACCAATGTCACCGCCATTACCACCATACCCAATTAACTTCGCCACCAGCACCCCCGCCATCTCCATTTTCTCCTTTCTTCGCCACCACCACCAACAACAACAATTAGAAAAAGGGAAGAAAGAGATTGATCCATCACTACCACCACGTTTATTCATCGACCCCACCACTCACACTAGAATAACGGCAGAACCCGAATCATCTTCTCATAAAAACAAAAATCAAACCAAAGT